CCTTCTTTTTATACTTTCAGAGTTCCCTTCGCGAGTAGATCGGAAAAGGATATTTCCGCGTTAACTTTTATATGCGGATTTTACTTCCACGGAGTGGGAGAAAGAAAGGTCAGATATCAGGGAACGCAAAAAAGCATATGCCGTCTTCAAAAAAAAAAAAAAAAAAAAAAAAAGAGATAGAGAGAAGAGAGAAACGATATCGGGTCGGTCGGTTTGATTGCCTTTCGGGGCGGCAGATAAACGCAAAATTTATCGCCCCAGTTCCGCGTACGAGTTAGATTTGCGGTCCTTCGTCCCTACATTATCGGGTCGACGTGCTGTAGCCGAGCAATCTTTCGGCTAACACACACTCGCGATACAACGCCACACGCATTGTGTGTATTGCTCGTCGCGACAGTCGGATTTGTGGCTTTCGGCAAAACCATTTCCACGTTTTCTCGCGCAACATTTTCCCTGCATAGGAAGAGAGGGAGTGAGAAAGACCGAAAGGAGAAGGGACGAATCGGTGGTCACAGAGGCGGTCAGAGGTGGTCGTGTGGCAATTTCGTCGCGCGTAACGCAATTATACGCTAACGGTTCCGCATTCGCGGGACATAATCGAATCGTTCCACGATACGCCGCGAGGACGTATTTGTAATTCATCGAGACGAGAGAAAGAACGTTCCTTCCTCGCACGTTTCGAAAAGCGACGAGATATCATCGATATTTTATCGGAATTACGCAACCATGAAAGTTAATTATTGGAAATTGTTTATAATATATCTTTTTTTTTAACACGTGAGAGAAGAGAATGGAAAAAGAGATGACAAGAAATATACATGTTTTATTAAAGGTTAAACAATTAATATATATTTTCGATACACGAATAGAATTTTTTTAAAGAATTTTTATCTATAAAATTCTAATTAAAAACTCACGCGTGTACGCGCGCATTCTCTATATAAAAAAATCCATCTCTCATTAAAAAATCCATGTGTACCGCAAAGTGCGCGTTTTTGAGTCGAATGTATTGCATCTATTGTTGCCCTCCTTTCCGCGTTGCCGATTGGTTTGTTGATCGAGTCAAGTCGAGTCAAATCGAATCGGTAAGATCGAGAGAGTAAATAATGACAGAAAAGCGATTTTGACAGTTTGTCGTATACGTGGAGAAGAATAAAAACTGACCTCGGTCACGTGATTACAGTGTGTATATATATATATATTGAAATATCAAGATATCGAAAAGAGTTTGCAGAAGATTCGCTTTTCACGATAGAATTATTTGTTATTTGCTTATATTTTATTTCTATTTAAAGTACCTAAGTTAAACATTTATTTTTTTCGTTCTCTTGTGACAATAAAAATATATTCGTCGTGGCGCAATTGAAGAGACCGTTGAACCTTCTCTTCATCGTATCGCGCATATTAATTATCGATTTAATGAACAGCGTACTAATCTATCTTACTATAAACGGAAAGCCGTCTTAAGTTAATACCGTTTCACCTCGGGCTCCTCTCTCTCTCTCTCTCTCTCTCTATCTCTCTGTCGGGGAGATTGTACGAAGTTGGGACGGTAAGGAATGATTAAAGTCTCGGAAGGGGCCATCTAGCCGTCTGGCAGCCTGGCCCTCTTAGAAGAGGCATCTTAGCCCAAAGATTAACACTGAGAATCAATTAGGCGGTTAGTTGAACCGACTAATTGCAGATCGCGGATCGAGTAGGCCGGAAAGTCTTTCGGAAATCATGTCCGTCGGGAGAGTGTGCGATTTATTTAAATTGCTTAAATACGAGCGGCACGTAGAACAATAATGCGAGTTCTTTGAATTTAAACGGACTTGCACGCCGTGTCATATTTATTCTATTACGTAAACACATTTTATCCATACATAAAAAAAACCTCCATTATATATGGAGCTGTTGACGTCTAACGGACGTCTAATGGAGTTTTCGTTCTGTGCGGGTACTGTGTGCTTCGATTTTTTACCGTTCACACATTTCAACTATTTTCAAGGTAGTTTGTTTTTATGTTTGTGTACACACAGAAAAAGTCAAACCGCAGCGAACAATATATCAAACTGTCATCGTGTTTCGATATGTATGTAAACACCGCGCGCACAAACACTGTCGCGATAGGGAGTCGCTATAACAATTTGTTTTCTTTTTCAGGTAGGCATGCAAGGGTGCGAAACGCATTGTTCGCCAGTTACAAGGCGATGAGACTCCTGAATGGAGTCAGAAGAAGCCTCAGAGCCCCCTGGGGCTCCCATCGACGTTCCATTGACAGAGCAGCACAGGCGGGTCAATCTTGTTACTGCACTTAAACCGATCTGAACCAAGTTCGTCTTGCCGTTTGCACATCCAGATTTTCATTTTCGATCGCGATACCGAGAAGAGAACAACACGAAACATTGAGAACACAAGATATAGATTAGATACTGAGAAAGAACAGGTTCTCAGGTAAATCACGAATATATAAATACCGATATAGTGAAACCCATGCCAAAGATCTACTTGTTACGTCAATACGTATCTACGATTTACGCGAAAAAATCTCGATAAGAACGAAACCGCAAACTTTCCGCGAAAAACCTGAGAGAAAGACTCGAGATCAAAGAAAACAAAAAGCAGAGAACGATACAACGTCAGGTTTTCGAGATGGCAGCGCCGGTGATCGAGAAAAAGCGCTTCTTCTGTCGGGAATGGGCTTTTATGAAACTGTCGCATTGCCTGGAGCAGCGGCCGCAATCGAAAACGTGCGGTGCTCTGATCGTGGGTGGACCAGGAAGCGGCAAGACAGCACTATGCGCCGAATTGGCTTGGCCGTCGAACGGCTCTTCCGCGCGGCATCAGCGATCTCTGAATCGCCGTCTGCTGGCCCGACATTTCTGCCAAGCTCGAAGCGAGGCTTCGCTGTCGCCCGCTCAATTCGTGCGATCTCTGGTCGCCCAGTTGCTTCAGGCCAGCTCGGACGGAATTCATCATCATCATCATCATCATCACCATCATCGTACGACGTCTATACCAATCTCACCGACATCGTCCGCAACCACACCGGCAGCGATCACCACCGCAACAACGACAGGGTCGACGACGATTACTACGACGACGACAGCAACGACAACGACGACGACAATTCCGACGGCAACACCAACTGTGACACCACCTCTCATGTCCAGAGAAGCCGTCGCGGAAGCCTATGCCGAGAAGCTGCGAACCGATCCGGAGATACAGGCGGCGTTGCAGCCGGACGTTCTCGATCGAGATCCGGATGACGCCTTGAAAAAGGCTCTTCTGTTTCCGTTGTTGGAAGTGGAGCCGCCAAAGAACTGTCTCTTCCTGCTGGTCGATTCAATCGACGAGGGTCAGACGCTGAATCCACCGCAGACCGGCACCAGGGATTCCCGAAGAGAGAATGACAACGTCAGTCGCACGATTGCTGAATTGCTAGCTAATCACCACCATCTGTTCCCACAATGGCTTTTGTTAGTTTGTACTGCACGTCGACAAAGTAAGACCATCTCGCGCATGTTCACTGGCTTTCGCAAGATCTCGCTCGACGACTTGAGAAAGTCCCAGGTCGTCAGGGACGTTCAGCAGTATATACTCGCGCGTCTAGATCAAGAAGATGCGCTCAGGTAACCATAATAATTAAATGACGAAATTAATTATTTATGAGATTTTTACTCGATGATAGTCTACAAAATATAAAAAAATAATCAGATTAATATATATATATCTAACAAATTATAATTTTTTTTGAAGATAATTAAATCCAATTTTAATTTCTACTGAAATTAACATTTATAAATTATATGGTACATCGTTAAATTATATGCAAATGACATAAGTCATTTACATAAATAAAAAATTTATATTTTAATATTTAGTATGTAAATATTAATAATTAAAAATTTGTCAAGAATAATAAAGTTTTGTATGTATGTGTGTGATTATTTACAGGCAGCACATCTCGCGCGACACTGCCGAGATGCTGAACCAGCTGCATATAAAGAGCAACGGTTGCTTTCTGTATCTGGAGAAAGTTCTCGACGGCGTAGCGGAGAATTTTATTGTTTTGCGCGAGGTGCGCGAGATCCCGGGAACATTGAACGGCCTGTATCTCTGGCTCTGCCAGCGACTCTTCAGCAGGAAGCAATTCAGCAAGGTGCAGCCGCTTCTCAACGTCATACTCGCCGCCAAATTGCCCATCACTCAAGAAATTCTGTACGAGAGCGTCAAGACCGCCTGCGTCGGCATTACCGTGGAGGACTTTAATCGCCGGCTTCATCTGCTGCGCCGAGTGATATCGGTCTCGCGTGCTGGAGCTTTGATGCTCTTTCATCACAGCTTCGCCGAATGGTTGCTGGATGTGAAACACTGTACGCAAAAGTATCTCTGTTCGGCCACCGAGGGCCACGCCATGCTCGCGGCTTACTACACTCTCCGCGGTCCCGAGCTCAATCCCGACGAGATCTGCGTGCTGGCCCAACACCTGCAACGCGCGATAACGAACGTACCGCCTAACGTCGCTCTGGACGTTCACACACTTCAAGTGCTCTGGATGATAGGTAGCAACGCGGCCATCGAAGGTTGTTACTTGGACAGCTCTGAATGCATTCTCTGGCCCCGGCAGGATGTCAAGCTTCTCAGACTGTTGATCGACGCTGGTGCTAAACCCTCCGAGAAGATCGCCGATGACGACGCCAGCAAAGATGCCGTTTCTTCTAGTCAGGTAAGTTTTTGTTTGTTTTATTAGAGAATCTTTTTTTTTTTTTATTAACATATCTGCAAAATCAAAAAATAATAAAACGTAATTTATTTTTAAAGATATACTTAGTTTTGAAGTTTTTGTTTCAGGAATGTTCGATATAAAATATGTTCTCTAGTTAGTATATCTAATCAAGTTTCGAGATAAAATACGGGAGTGTCATATCGAACAAAACGCCTGTGACAAAAACACTCATGACAAATTATAACAATATCTAATCTGTAGAGTTTTGATGTGTACATGTACAGTAGTAGTTTTACATGTACAGCATGTAGGGAGCACCATATTGTGCGGCTCCAGGGAAAGTATTTTTCGGAAATTTCTTCTTTAGTTGCTCCTATTACTGCGCGCTCTTCTCCTTCGATCTCAGACCGTTGGCGGAGACCGAAAAAGAACGGCGCGCGATAGTGTAAAGCATCCAAAGGAGAAATTCCCGAAAAATATTTCCCCTAGAGCCGCACGATATGGTGCTCCCTACTGTACACATGATACAAAGAACACATGTGTGTATAGAAGACAAATGTTCACTAAAATATTCGTGAGAAAAAATTCATAAAATTTATTAAAATTACTAGTTTACTACTTTTACTTAAAAAAAATAGCATATGATTGTTTCTTTTCCAAAGGTTTCGCAAGATATAAGTCCTATTGACGAGTCTCCGAGTGAACCACTAACAGAACTCCTCGGTGAAAGCGGAGATATCAATCAAACAGATTCTTACGGACGAACGGTGTTACACACCTTAGCTGCCGACGGCAATGCATCTTTACTAGAATTGGCGCTTGCAGCTTGTCCTCAAGTATAAAACTTATTGTTGATTTTTAATTAGTCACAAAATATCGTTTCTAAATTAAATTGTTAAGTTTTACTGTGCTTTTTTACATTGGCTTTTTTATTGAGTAGATTTAAAAATTTATTTTCGTGAATTTACATAGGCGAAATTGGAAGCGGTTGATCGAAATGGACAAACGCCGCTGAATTTGGCTGCTAGGCACGGTTACGCGGATGTAGTGCGTGTGCTTTTAGCTGCCGGCGCACGAGCGGATCACGCGGACTGCGATGGATGGACTGCTCTTAGAGCTGCTGCCTGGGGAGGTCATACTCAGGTACAGCTGAAAGAAACTGTAATTTCTTAACTTTTTTTAAAGAACACGTGAACTGTTTTTTTTATCAAGACAGTGACGATGACTGACTAATCGGTTACTGACTAATCGCGATAGTTTGCTGTTAAAATCATATAAATAGACGTACAGGTAGTTCTGACAAGTCGTCGTTTCAGGTGGTTGAAGAACTTTTGAAACACGGAGCGATGGTAGATTGCGCAGATTGGGATCAACGAACCGCGCTGCGAGCAGCCGCGTGGGGCGGCCACGAAGATATTGTCAAAGCTCTCTTAAAACACGGCGCGGACGTTAACAGAACGGACGACGAAGGTAGAACCGCTTTAATCGCGGCGGCATACATGGGACATAGCGAGATCGTGGAACATCTTCTGGATTATGGAGCTGAAATCGATCATGCCGACAGCGACGGGAGAACAGCGCTCAGCGTCGCCGCACTTTGCGTCCCTGCTAATCACGGATATGCAAAAGTATCATTATCTTCAGTGTTTGTATTGATTTTTAATTAAAATATAAATTATAAGAAATAAAACTTAAAGATGTGACATTATAAAAATATTCTTTGTTGTAATATAAATATTCATTGGTCGTAGGTTGTTACGATACTTTTAGAGCGAGGTGCTACAGTCGATCATCAAGACAAGGACGGCATGACTCCGTTGTTAGTCGCTGCGTTCGAAGGTCACCGAGATGTTTGTGATTTGCTTCTGGAATACGACGCTGACATGGATCATTGCGACGCTACCGGAAGAACGCCTTTGTGGGCAGCAGCAAGCATGGGACACGGATCAGTCGTGAAGCTTTTGCTTTATTGGGGTTGCTGCGTCGATACTATAGACAACGAAGGTAGAACCGTTCTCAGTGTCGCTGCTGCCCAGGGCGGTACGGACGTAGTGAAGCAATTACTCGCTAGAGGTAACGTTGTAAAATTAGTTTATCTGACGAAACGCGTTTGAACATGATACGGAAATGTTTAAAGAGACGTGATTGTATGTGAAGGCCTAGATGAGCAACACAGAGACAATTCAGGGTGGACTCCTTTACACTACGCAGCGTTTGAGGGTCACATTGACGTTTGTGAAGCGTTATTAGAGGCTGGTGCAAAGATTGACGAGACGGACAATGACGGGAAGAGCGCTCTCATGCTTGCTGCGCAAGAAGGACACACATCGTTAGTAGAAAGGTTGTTGAAACAACACAATGCACCTATAGATCAGCATGCTCACGATGGTAAAACCGCTTTAAGGTACAGAACTACAGTCATCACATTAATTCTGTTAAATATAAATATATAATCATATCTAACGGAACATATACATATGTAAAATTCTACACACATCGATGTACTATATATTATCTTTTGTAGACTCGCAGCTCTGGAAGGACATTACGATACCGTAAAGATATTGTTATCTCACAACGCTGATGTAAATGCTAAAGATGCCGATGGAAGAAGCACTCTTTACATACTCGCATTAGAAAATAGATTAGCTATGGCGAGGTTTCTGTTGGAACATGCAAACGCGGACGTAGAAAGTAGAGATTCTGAAGTAAATAATGTTGATTATATTTTAAAAAATTGGTTATTTAATGATTCATAAAATATACAATGTTTTTTTCATATAATATTTGAGAATATTTTACAAGTATAAAAAATGATAATCAATACACTTGAATATTCTACAGGGTAGAACATCGCTACACGTGAGCGCTTGGCAAGGACACGTGGAAATGGTAGCCCTGTTGTTAACGGAGGGTGGAGCCAGCGTAAACGCTTGCGACAACGAAAACAGAACGCCACTTCATTCCGCCGCTTGGCAAGGACACGCCGCAATTGTTAGACTGCTCCTGGAACACGGTGCCACTCCCGATCACACTTGCAATCAAGGTGCAACGGCTCTAGGTATATGAGTCATGAATATAATCTAGCGTTGCATCTATGAATAAAGTATATATTGATCTTATATAAGAAATGTTTATAAACTAACTGTAATTTTTTGTGCAATTTATAGGTATCGCCGCACAGGAAGGACACGAACACTGTGTCCGGGCACTTTTGAATCACGGAGCCGATCCGAATCATTCCGATCATTGCGGACGTAACGCGATCAAGGTAGCCGCTAAAAGTGGCCATGACACAGTTGTCAGATTGCTGGAAGAGCATTCTGCCAATCAACGCAGTTTACGACCCGGAATTAATGGAGGTTTGTGCTGCCAGTCTTTTTATTGGTCTTTAAATTGACGAGAGAGAGAGAGAGCTGCGGAAAAAGTTACTCTGAAACAATGTTACAATTCTGTATAACAATTTTCAGGCGGTAGCAGTAGTGCTACTTCTGTAACATCGAATTCGACGGCTGAGACTAAACCTTCATCGGCAATCTTGAATCCCTTGTCAACACAATACAGTCCAGCAGAATCACCAGACTCGACCAAACGACGCAGTTGCGTCTCTTTAGGCAACAATTCCAGCAACAGCAAATCGAGCAGTAATTTAACCGGTAGCACAAAAAGCGATCAGGGAAAATTCAATCAGAATTCAGTGGTTAACTGTCAGGTAATAAAAGTACGTTACACAAAATATACCATATAACTATTTTATCTATTTGACAATCAAATCAATTAAATTCAATGATTCGATGTTGTTTTAATTAAAAGTACAACTACTTGACTCACTGTAATATTAGTTACTTACCTTTCAAAAAATTGCCAAGTGTTCTATTATGATTTTAGGCACCATTATCTTTCACGCAACAACTACAACAATGTTCAAGAGGAGCAAAGAGTCGGCCGCTCAGCAAATTGTTGTCACCTCTGAAAAGCGAACCGCAGAGTCCGATATACGCATCACCTCCGCACTCTCCGTTAAGCGACAGTCTCATTCCTTACTCACCCACGAATACAAGTCCACCTAGTGCTCAAACGGCCGTTAACGTGATACAAAGTCAACTGGGCGTGTCGTTAATGACGGGAAATACGAATATTTCGTACACAAAAACGCAAATAGGAGGATACAATCACACACCAGTTATTTACGAGCCGATCAATATCAAAACCGAGATTATCGACAGAAATAACATTGGCAAACCGTTTGACTTGACGAACGAAATGTTGGGTTTGAGCATTGGGAAAGATAAGGAGAACGGGCACGAGGAGAAACGCAATTCAGCCGATACTCATTTCACACGCGACACTCATATGAGAATAATATTAGGAAATAGTGGTGCTGGCGTTGGTAGAAGCGTCAAGCATACTTCAGATTACACGCCTGGAAGGTAAATAAGATCGACATATATATATATATATATATATATATATATATGTCCACCTATATATATACAAGCAAAGATGTAATACCAACATTTTTTTGTGTACTAACGTCCTAATTACGTTTATTTCATGGCGCACTATTAACAAAATCATCAGCGTAATGATTTTTTGTTCGTTTAAAAAACAAATTTTGCATAAAACGGTGTTTTGAAAAATTGTTCTAAGTACATATTATTCACTTATGGCAGTATTTGTTAGATATCTCACACACACAGTCATCTACTACAGTCATTTTACTACATGTATTGTACGTCATCCGATCATCACATATATCTGTGTACGTTATATGTAACTCCATCTTCTCAATTGAAATTTTCAAGCATACGTATTATCTTAATTTTTTCAATGCAATTCTTTAGACTTTGCAGAAATCACAATGGTCGTATAAGGAAGACACACCGCTTCATGAGCGATAGGCTTTCCTTCCTTTTTCAACCCTCTCGAGTGAAAAAAGATAGAATATATAGTCAAGGAGGACACGCGACAATGTTAGACATATATATCATACGCTATGTATTAATTGGTTATTAACATCGTTTTATTTAAAATGTATACTACCTGAACAAAACAAAAAAACATTAACGATAAATAACATTTTTTTGTTTTAAAGTCTTTTGATACGTTAAACTTATTTTTTGTTTTCACTTAAAGTTCTTAACATTTATTGAATTTTTCACGTCAACTCTCTTCAACAAAGAAACAAAAAAAAAACAGAATTGTCACAAACGTTTTATAACGTCACCATATTGTATTTCAGTGCAGGTAATATAAAACCAAAGCGTAATGGCTTGGTGTCTAATCCAGCCATGAGATTAGTAGCAGGCGTTAGAAATGGAATTGAAAATGCCACGAATAGAAATAAGCCTATCACAACGCGCGTAAACGGATTCCAATGGAAGGCGGAAGCTCGCAAGGAAACACCTTTGTAGGGACAGGTATTATCATCTATTATATATTTTATTGATATTGACTCATATATTTGTATATATACAGTAAATACATTTCTTTTTTTTTTTTAACATTACACAGGCTATACATTATGGATTACCTCGGCGACGAGTAGCAAACTCTTCTCGTGAATGGCGATCTGTCACCAAGAAAAAGCGGAAGTCAATAAAAACATTTTTCTCGGTTTATTTGAGCAAAATCAAATTACCTCAAATAAAAAGAAAGAAACAGAAGAAAGAAGATTAAATAAATATTCTCTGATAACGTGTTGAAAGCAGAAATCGCGTATAAACAAAACCAAATATTAATTTGCATAGGGAAGTATGTAGACGTAGATATGTAAACTTGGAAAAAACATGACTTTGTATAAATATAATGAAGTTATTTACTGATCTCACACTGATGTAGTACATTATACACGCACATCTACACATAGCATATTCGTACATTGAATATATGTGTGTATGTGTGTGTATACATATACCGTTTATACAGAATATTACAAACGCTGTTCAGTTTCTAAGTTACAGATCTATTATTGAGACGCGAGTTTTGCGAAGTTCTGTTTGTATCGATCAAAAAATAAAGACTTGCTACACCGAACTCGCTATAGAGATCTCGTCTGTTGAAAGAGATGGAACAGCTTTTGGAATATTTTGTATGTGCATACTTACAAAAACAATATTATTATTAAAATCCTAAAAAAAAAAAAAAAAGAAAAGAGATTTCTTAGCCGTGATGTTAATGCCAGGTTAGAATAATAAAGTTTAATGATGAAAAAAAAAAAAAGTTTTTGAGAAGACTGGATGCAAAGCAGAATGCATATGTGATCTTTTAATGGGTGTAACTCTAAACCGAAGAAATTGTAAAGATATGTATAAATTAATTATATTATAAGAGAAAAAAAGATGAAAAAAAAAAAAACGATAAAGAGTATGATATTACAGACTCATTACAGATACGTAATGTTATGGCCTGAAAAAGTGAAGGACGTGTGTAAATATAAATCTCTCGTAATGTTTCACGCAACATATTTATTATATTGTAATAGGTATGAAAAATCAATAAAACTAGGAAATATTACACGTGCAACCTCGTCATCGACTTATTTCCTAATTGTCACGAGAACCACATTTAGGCGTAAGATACTGATTCTTGAGCGATAGCGCGCAGTTAACATTTCAGATAATCGTCAATATGCGTCATCTTTATAAATTTGGTTGTTTGTCATTCAGGAGATAATGCATGTAATATTTCTTTTTTCTTGTATCTCTCGAGATTTATATTAACATAAAATAAATAATTAATAAGCTCTTACTGAATTTAAATATAAAATACATCGAAAATTTTATTACATATGTAATATTATATAATAACATGGTAAAAAACTTTTAAAGAATATATCACAAATTCTTCAAGGCTTTGTTGTTTAAGCGTCCGTTTCTTGGTGTAGATTCTTGACACACTTCTCTAATTATCCTATATTATCCTATTGCATACGATTAGTAGAGTATAAGTAGTTTCAGGTTCTAGTTAGTATCTAATCTGACTATTGAGAGAGATATATGATGCGTCCGGAGAGATATGAAGCGTCTCTGAATATCTCGACGACTCTGATAAAGACTCTTCAAACAAGTATCTCGTAAAAGTCTTTCCAGATAACATCAACGTTACCTTTTTTACTGTGTTACACATATAGTAATACACGTTGTTGTTACTGATACAAGACAGCAGGTTTATGAAATCAGTCACAATGGGCAAATTACTGTTTTTTGTGCTAAAACACAAACTCATTGTATCGATAATAATTGGTGTGGCTATTGGGATAACATGCGGTATGAGTTTCAAGCTCAGCGGAAAATCGTGGTCCGAACGAGAAATTATGTATATCAAATTTCCTGGAGAATTGTTTCTCAGACTGGTGAACTGTTTGATATTACCACTTGTTACGTCTAGTATTATAAGCGCTACTTGCAATCTCACTAGGTCCGGTAAGCTCTTAAAATTTAATTTTTTTTTTTAATATTTAGATAGAAACGTATATCTTAAAACTTATTACGTAGGACGTATTGGATTGATGGCATTGTACTATTACTTAACGACTACCACGATCGGAATAACGTTGTGTGTTGTGCTCGTTCAGACTATTCGGCCGGGCGAAGTAACAAGAGTTGAAAATGTTACAATGCCAGTGTTCACAAGAACTTCTATGACAATAGATACCATATTGGATTTGATTCGGTAATTAAATTATTTATTCAAAAATATATTTTTAAAAGTATATTATTTTTCTTTTTCTTATAATTCTTTGCAGTAATGTAATTCCCGAGAATATAATAGATGCATGCATGTATCAGGTATATATGTCTATATATGTTATATACAGTTTAAATCTATAAATATACGTATGAAAAAACTGCGATACTTATAAAAAGATATAATTAAAAAAATATACTTATTTGTTTCTATTCTACAGTATCAAACCGTTTTAGAACAGCCACCCAATGCATCTGCAGGTAATTAAAATTTCTCCGAACTAGCAAGAGAAAAATATAACAATTTATTCAAGTTTGAAAAAAAAATGGTTACAGTTTTGCAATAAAACATCTCGACTATTACGGAGCTCTAAATCTTATTTCAATTTTGTGCGAGTTTTATAAATAAAGATGTGTCAATATTGCAGTGCCAATAGAAGAATGGATTATAACAAGTAAATATGTTAACGGAACAAACGTATTGGGTTTAGTGTTTCATAGTTTATTACTGGGTGTGGCAATTGGACAATTAGAGATGGAGGAAGGAAAACCATTATCGAACTTTTGCACTTCTTTCGCTGATACCATGTTGATTATTATGAAATGGATAACAAAGTACATTACGTATTACATTATATTGTTAAAACAAAAAGTACAAGTTGTTGTACAGTCAGAACTTCAAAGTGATCTCTTGTGATCTAGAGCAGCACCAGTAGCCGTACCGTTTCTCATTGCCGGTCGAATCTTAGAAATCGAGGATTTTGGCAATACGCTGAGTCATTTAGGATTTTACGTCTTAACCGTGTTTATTGGTCTGATAACGCAGGGATTTATAATATTACCCCTTCTTCATTGGATAATCACGCGAAAATCATCATACAAAATTATATCCAAACTCGGCCCGTCCTTTGCAGCCGCCATAGGAACATCGTCGAGGTAATGTGAGATAGAAACTTAAATACGAAATCTAGAGAACTTAAAACTTTGTTTACTCTCACAAAATAATTAAATTTCAGTACTGCTACAGTTCCGCACACAATTAGAAGTTTGGAAAGTTTGGGAATAAATTCCGAAGTAACGAAATTTCTTGTTCCAATAGGAGCGGCATTAAATTTAGACGGAATAGCGTTGTACGAATCTGTCGGAGCGATATTTATTATACAACTACGTGGTTTGCAATTTCCATTGTTTAAAATAATAATTATCAGGTATCTAACAAATAACCAACACATTAAGATTAATAAATTCTTAGAAAAAGATATTTGCGAATATATAAAAAAAAATATACGACATTTTAACATCTATGTATTTAATTAAACAATATCTACTGTTTTTATATGTAGCATTACATGTACACTATCGTGCGTGGGTTCTGCTGGTATACCAAGTGGTGGTTACATGATGTTGATAATGGTGTTGAATTCTCTAGATGTACCAGTTGAAGATGTTACTTTAATTATTGCTATCGACTGGCTTGTGTAAGTATATTGTGTTTTTATAAAAATTATTACATTTAAGCCATATTTATACACATATAATAAAGATTTATGAAAAAAAAGATATTAGCTAAAAACACTAAGTAAAAATTCGTTATTTTCCAGTGATCGTTTCAGAACAGCAATTAATATCATAGGCGATGCATTGGGTGCGAGTATTATAACTCAATTTTATGAAATAGCTTTAGAAAAAGAGAAAACAAGGAGATTAGAGTCCATAGAAAAAGCGATTTGCAAAACCCGAACATAGTAAATGTTCTCTAAAGTAGACTATAGTAATTCAAAATTTCAATCAAAGTAACAAGATCAGGGTAGTTATTAAAAAAGGAGAGAAAATTAATGCTTAAAAGAATATAAGAAATATTTATTTCTTTTGTATACAAAAATAAAGAAAACTTGAACAAAATTCGTTTCATATTTGCGGACCAAAAATGCGTATTTTTTAACCCTCAACTACACCACCGAAATTTATACCACACCTACAAAGTGTATAGTTTTGTATCCCAACTTTGAAGAGCTTTGAAATGAGAAAATTTAAAAAATTTGTGTTTTCTGGTGTAATAATTAACGTTCCACGTAAAAAATATTTGCGTAATTGTGCGTGATGGGATTTGAACTCCGCCAGTGTAATTACGGGTTAACAATATAATTTATATCAATAATAGTTTTAAAAAAAAGCTGTATGTGAAAAAATACTTGCGAACTATTTATATAAACAAATATCTCTGTACATAAAAATATATCTATAAAATAGTTTTAGTATTAGTACATAATAGTTTCAGTATACAAAATAGTTGTAGTATTAAAGAATTTTGTGTTAATTTTCCCAGTAAGCAAAATGCGCGCAATATGCCAGCAGATTGGCAACAGACCCAGTAAGCAAAATGCGCGCAATATGCCAGCAGATTGGCAACAGATATACTCAAAAGTTGCGAGCAAATTGGCATCTGTTATGTCCGCATTAGGCTTACGATCTGCTAGCAAAGCCTGCTCACAGAATCTGATAGCAGATTGTCGGCAGAAACCGAGCAAGATCTGCAGCTTTTAGCGATTCATAAAATGGTGCATTTAAAGGATTTCAATATTATTTTTATATTTTTTTAATGTAAAATAAGTAAACAATTTAAAGCAATATTTTTATTATATAATTCTTACAATAATTTTTTTACATATTATTGTGCGTTTTCAACTTATCTACTAAATTATAATTATGTATAAAAAAATTATACATAGTCATACACTAAAATTATATATAGATAGATATAATTTATTGACGTCTAAAAAAATAGTTAATTCAAAAGACTTAACTATATTTTATGTTATAAAAATAACATTTTGAAACCTTTTAAATGCATCATTTTACGTGAATCGCCAAAAGCTGCAGATTCTGCTCGGTTTCTGTTGCCAATCTGCCGTTAGAGTGTGCGTGCGCAGATTTTGTTCGGTTTCTGCCGACAATCTGACGTCAAGTCATGTTAGCAGATCTTGCTCGGTTTCTGCAGCCAATCTGTTGTCAGATTTTGTGAGCAAGATCTGCTCGATTTTTGGGACCAATTTGTAGACTTAATCAATAATAACAACTTCTGTATCAGATTTGTAGCCTTTTTGTTGACAACAGGTAGCAGACACTTGCATGATCTGCTTTTGACAGACTTGGCTATCTGGGTTATTTTATGAGTGTTTTTCTTTAAGTTTGACAATTACACTTTTTACTTCCGTATACGCGTCAAGCCCGTATTCTCCGAGCTCTCTGCCTTCTCCAGACATTTTATAGCCACCAAACGGCACTTGAGAAGACATAACATTGTATGTGTTGACCCTATATAAAAAAAAAAATTAACAAAACGCTAGTTCAATTTTTTGTTTAAAAAAGTCGTAACGCGTTATGCTTAAAATATTCCCAAACAACTTACCAAACTGTACCGGCGCGAAGACCTTGTACAATGTAATTTGCTTTGTCAATATCTTTCGTGAAAACTGCAGCGGCTAATCCGTAATTGGTGTCATTAGCACGGTCAATGACTTCGTCCAAATCATCGAACTTCAGGATTTGTTGAACCGGACCGAATATCTATCATAGAAAATTGTTGTAAATATAAGTCAACTTGTTATATAACATTAATATTTTCTTTTTTAATTAATTACACTTGTTTCTAATACTTACTTCTTCTTTGGCTATAGTCATATCGTCTTTAACATCTGCAAATACCGTTGGAGCGACATAATATCCTTTATCACCGACGCGCTCGCCACCTGTTAGCAAACTAGCGCCTTGTTTTTTACCACAATCTATCAAGTTCATTATTTTGTTCAGTTGCTCTTGGTCAATCTGATCAAACAAAAATCGTACTAATTACAATTAAATGACATCATTGTAAAATCCATGTTTAAAATTAAATAATATACCTGCGGACCATGTTCGATTTTTAAATCGAACGGATCTCCAACAGTTCTAGCCTTAGCGCGAAGTACACTTTTTTCCACGAACTCGTCGTAAATGTTAGACTGAACGAACGTTCTGGATCCTGCGCAACAGCATTGACCCTGATACACAATTTAAAAAGTACTTTAGCAAAAAGGAACATTATTTTCGAATAAAAACAATACACAAAAAAATAAATTACCATATTAAAGAACAATCCAAAATGCGCTGTTTCCACTGCCTCATTTATATCAACATCTTTAAGAATAATATTAGGAGATTTTCCGCCTAACTCCAGTGTGGTCCTCTTCAAATTGTGCATGGCGGCACCTTGTTTTATCAATTGGCCAACTTCTGTGGAACCCGTAAATGCAATCTTGTCAACTTTATCATGAGCTACAAGCGCTGCTCCTGCACTACCGTAACCAGGAACCACATTGACCACTCCATCAGGAAATCCAGCTTCTTTGGTCAATTGTGCCATGTAAAGAGCTGTTAATGGAGTCTGTTCCGCAGGTTTTAAAATTACGACATTTCCTGAGGAGAATATAAAATAATTAACAATTTACACATACAGAAAATCAATTCCAAATGTATCATGACCAAAATATATATGGCTACCTGTGGCTAAAGCCGGTGCTATCTTCCAAGCCATCATCAATAATGGGAAGTTCCACGGAATAATCTGACCGCATACTCCTACTGGTTCATGTCTAGTGTAGCTAAAAAAGTCTCCATCCATTGGTATGACTTTACCATGCCACTTATCAGCCCATCCCGCATAATATCTCAGCACGTTAATGCTGAAGGCTAAATCTATATTGTATGCAAATGCGTAAGGCTTGCCGTTATCTAAAGTTTCTAAGGACTGAAATATAATACAAATATAAGTAATTTTTTTGTTTCTGAAGTCAGATAAACAAATATATTTTATACAATTTTTTTTTAAATAAAAAACATTTTTTAAAGTAAGAAACATAAACCATCGTTCAATAAGTCCCGAGACTAACCCAGAGATGGTGCTAGTAGTACCAAACTGACCACGTTTCCCTAGAGTGCGAACCTTCACATGAAACGTGTAAAAATTTCACGTCGATCGGACCACAAACAGCAGAGTTATCGAAGTTAGAGTAAAGTCACTTTGTAATTTGTTTGAAAAATGGAAAAAAGCGAGTTTCGCGTGTTGATAAAACATTGTTTTTTAATGGGTAAAAACACCGTAGAAGCCCAGCAATGGCTTGAGAAACGTTACCCGGACTCCTCTCCATCCAAATCAACGATTTGTCGTTGGTATGCTGAGTTTAAACGTGGTCGTACGGACACAAACGATGCGGAACGTTCGGGTAGGCCATTGGAAGCCGTTACACCGGAAAATGTGAGTNAAGTGTTAAAAATCGTAATGAAAAATCGCAAAGTGAAGGTCCGTGAGATTGCAGAAATGACACAGATATCATCTGGAAGCGTATTTACAATCCTTCATGAAAAATTGAGCATGAAAAAGGTTTTTTCCAAGTGGGTGCCGCGATTGCTTTCAATGGAACAAAAACAGCAACGAATCGACGATTCAGAGAGCTGTTTATCGCTATTTACTCGCAATAAAAAGGATTTCCTGCGTCGATACGTGACCATGGATGAAACATGGATACATCATTTCACTCCGGAGTCGAATCGGCAATCATCTGAGTGGCGCATGGCTGGCGAAAGCCGCCCAAAGCGTCCAAAAACGCAGCAGTCTGCTGGCAAAGTCATGGCGTCTGTTTTTTGGGATACACATGGCGTGATTTTCATTGACTACCTGGAAAAAGGTAAATCGATCAACAGTGATTATTATATTGACTTGTTGGTACGTTTGAAGGAGGAGATCGCAGCAAAACGACCGCACATGAAGAAGAAAAAAATCCTTTTTCACCAAGACAATCCACCATGCCACAAGTCCATGAAAACAATGGCAAAATTCAACGAGTTGGGCTTTGATTTGCTTTCCCACCCCCCGTATTCGCCAGATTTAGCCCCCAGCGACTACTGGCTCTTTGCTGATTTCAAAAAAATGCTCCAGGGAAAAAAATTTGGCTCGAATGAGGAGGTCATTGCCGAAACTGAAGCCTATTTTGAAGCAAAGGATAAATCCTTCTATAAACATGGTATAGAAATGTTGGAAAGGCGTTGGAAAGATTGTATCACTCTAAAAGGAGATTATATTGATGAATAAAAATGATTTTTGAAAAAAAATGTTGTTTTCGTTGTTAGTCTCGGGACTTATTGAACGACGTGTTAGTTCTAAAAAGTTTCTTTTCTAATATTTCTTTCATATAGTATACTTTACTGCAGCGTATGTCCGATTTTTCTCCAACAGATCTGCCAATTTGTGCAAAAGAAGTCCTCTTTGAGAGGCGTCCATTTTTCGCCATGGTGAACGTCTTCTAAAAGCCTTGTTAGCAGCCTGCACAGCAACATCGATATCTGCACTATCGCCTTCTTGCACATCGGCAATTATTTCACCTGTAGCGGGATTAACCGTAGGAAATGTTTTACCAGATTTTGATTTGTGCCATTCATTATTGATAAATATCTGCAGCAAAGTAAAAAAACATCTTTTGTGTAACATAAAATATATTGAAGATACATGTTAAAGTGTAAAAAGTAAAAATGGCAATTTATAAGCAATGTTATATATATGTATATATACATATGTGTATATATATGTATATATACAATGTTATATATTGTTATGTATATATACATATGTATATATATGTATATATATGTATATATACAATGTTATATATATGTATATATAATAGTTGAGTTTATAATCGGTTTTTTGAAAGCACATCGTTTTACTTTTTTATCATAAAAATAAAATTACAATATAAAAGTCGTTATAATAAAGTCGTTAAAAACACGTTCTGCCTGCGGACGCTATTATAAAGTGATCGATCGGTACAAGTTGAATCGCAGAATTAAAGATAGCAACACGTAATAATAATAATAATAATAATAGTAATAATAAAAATCATAAAACATAGACAAATTCGCGTTTATTCTAAAAAAAAAAAATTTCTAAAATTACAAAATCATCTTTGTTTTCATTCTAATCCTTATATATACTTTCTCTCTTAATATGCTCCGTTTTTATATAAAATCAATTACTGAAAATATTTTTTACACCGTCACGTCCGACATTATAGAATGACATCGAATACTGAAACGCTTCTTCTTGTCTTTGCACACACCTTTGTTAGTGTTCAAGTGTATGTGTGCTGTTCTTTCTTGTTTTCTTTAAATAAATATATACTTACGCCAGTATATAAGATCGACGGATTTGTATCCGGCATCGGCAAAGCTGCTGTCGAATAACATCGAAGATTTCGGAATTTGCTCCACACACGCAGCATTATTAACGAACACAAATGTCCTCTCACAAGCGGATACAGAGAATGATTTCTGATAACAGTAGGTGTCCGCGATATTAAAAACGTTGCTTGCTACTCTCGTCTTAAGATGCGTTTGCTTTGATTCTATCTTTGTTCTGCATTTAAAGGCGAGCTGATGCAGCGCAAGCGCATACAGTAAACGTACCCTTCGATATCCTTAGGGTGCGTTCGCTTTAAAGATGCTTTAAGTGCCAATCCGTCTTCTTTAAATCTAGAAGCCTTTAAATGTATATAGAACAATAGACAAACTCACTCAAAGGGTGCGTTCGGGGAGCGCGTTATCAGCGCTGTTGCATCATTCTATCTTTATTGCTCATTAGATGTAAAACAAAGATAGAATGACGCAATAGCGCTGATAGCGTGCTGCCCGAACGCAGCCAAAGCGCGTGAGCAATCAAAGCGAACGCATCCTCAGCCGCGCACCTTTCACTACCTTTGCTATATTTATTTTAAATCGGAGACGTTGGAGACTGCTCTTTTTATCTCGAAAGCTTCTCGACGTCACAGACTTGCAATGCCACACACAACTATACTGATAAATCGCACGTTCTCGTATTTACATGGTAACGCGCGCGCTCTCTGTATTTTTTATTTATAGGTAAAAACTTTGACGGAGCACCATATCGTATCTCTCTTCTGCAAAAACATCTGCGCAGTTGATAATATTCGATAGATAAAGGAATAATCTTATTAAACTACTTTGCAAATGCTAACACATTTTTGTTAGCGATAAGACAAGTCATTATGCAACTACATGATAATAAAACGTAACATACACATAATATATACGCTAATATATACACATAATATGATAAAGCAAAGTTTCCTAATATTTCTCAATATAGATACGTGAATCAATTAACATCCAACAGATTATTCGAGTTACTTAACATTTTTATTTTTACATTTTTGTGATTTTTTTTGCCTTGCGTTAAAAATTACATAATTGTGTTTATCAATGTACGCACAGGTTTTCCAAAGTTCATTGCTAGCATTAAAAATTCATAATTTTTACATATAATTCATATACGCATATTATATACATTTTTAGTACTGGCAGTGAATTTTGAAACATCCATAATAAGAATAAAATACGACGAAGGTTTGCTTATCTTACGTCGTGCAACCTTGCATGTACATATGATAAAGGTTGTTTCTCTTTCTTTTCCTCTTTGACGGATTCACGAGTTACGTAAATCCACTTCACACGTCTGTAAGATTACATTTTTTTATCCGTTGCACGGTCACGTGCGATTATCGATAGTCGGAGGACGAGAAGAGACCGTGAAGAGCACATAACTGTTCGTAAGAAAGACGTAAAATAAGCGAAGTAAACTCCGATGTACAACATTTAAATTTATCAAAATAAAACATTCACTTTGATAAATGTTTAGAATACAATTTTACTTGTGTACTGACTCATTAGTGCACAAGTTTATCGCGCGCATATATAGAAGCTCAAATAAACTAAAACAAAATATGCACATATATATGCCTTCATTATCTTTCGTTATCTCTCGTTTGACACATTACTTGTACCGAAATATAAAATACACAAATTTATTTGAAAAGTTAATAAGTTTCCAGAGAGAATTTAATAAGTTCTCCAGAGAGAATTTTTGCAATAATATAATCTTTCTTAAAATAATTTTATTTTACAACTTTCGCAGTTTTTTTTATTATACAAGTCAAGTACGTATAATTCTACACATTACTCGTTCAATTAATCAGATAATTAGGAGTGTAAAAGAGAAAGTATTTTTTATATATACTATGCTTTATAAAATGGAAAACACTTATAGTTGCATGTAGAGAGATTTTATGTATAAAAATATTCTATATGTTACAAAATCTGGAAAAATCGGCACTCCTGAAAAATAATTTGTAATCGTCGAGCGTGTTCTAAACATTTATCTCGATTTTCGTGTATATTCGCATCATTATTCTTTGCAGAATAGTAACTTTTTTCTACAAAGCACGATTAATGACTCTTTTTTCTCTTTTTCGGTTCTCGCTTTCCTTCTGCCGTTTTATCGTGACTTCTTTTTTGCGGTTTTGCGGTATTCGTAGACTCACTGTGTAAGTTCCCATTTTGATAAACGTCCGTCATATTTCCATTTTCCGGCAAATTGACATTACTGAATTTAAACAGCTCTAAATTCTCAGACATAGTTTTCGCGCGTAATTCACGCGCTTCTTTTTTCAATAATTGCGTCTCTTTTTTATTCTTGTTTTTTTTCTTTTGTATTTTATTATTTGCACTTTGTTCTTCTTTTTCTTCTTCTAAATCACTTGTTTTTCCATTTTGAGATGTAACATTATTCTGTTTGCCGTTACTTTCCGGATCAATATTATTCGAGTTACTCACCTCGGTCTTGTTAGTGATTAACGGCCTAGACAAAAAATGTCAATAAGAAAACGGTTTTAAATCGGGAGGAAAAAAATGAGTGAGTGAGCGAGTGAGTGAGTGAGTGAGTGAGTGAGTGAGAGAGAGAGAGAGAGTGTGTGTGTGTGTGCGAAAGAGAGAGAGAGAGAGCAAGTGAGAGAGAGAGAAACTCACACAAATACTTTTTCTTACACTTACACATTTATTGGAGCACCTATTTTTACTGCCAACTTCTTATATGCATTTTTCGTGTCTCTAGAAAGAACATTTCTACTTTTATATGTTGTCAATGCCATTTTCACGGCTTCCCAATTCCATGCTTCCGGCCAATGATTTGTGTGAACAGCACGCAACAATATTAAAAGATGACCGATAAACTTCTGCAAAACTTTTTTCTGTACACCAGTGCCGTTGCACGAAGCGACTTGTTGACCGTTATCACTTGCATGCGAACTTAACTCTTTGAACGTGTCTATGGTGTTTTTATACAGCGTTTTTTCTAATTTTTTCCTCTGGTCGATATACTTGTTAGAATCCATATGCAGTAGTCGATTATTATTATATAAAATTAGTAACAGCTCAAGCGCTTCATTTCTGCGGAAGTATCGAATACTGCTGTCAAAAGCAAAGTTCACCTAAGAGAGAAAAAAAAAGCAATTTTTATAAGAGCGAATATATAAGAATATTAAAACTCGCACTATTTCAAATGTACATACTAATAGAGGTGCCAAGCGCCAATTATCTTCCCAGCACAACTGCAATACATTCTTAAACAATACGGACGAAAGTACAAAATCTCGTTTCTTAAAGAACGCGGTTAAATTCTCGCCGTAAATTTCAATAATATTTTCGGTGGATAAGTTGGCTTGTTGCGCACATCTCACAACAAATGTGCAACACTCTGCCAATTTGTCGCTTATCTCTTGACACACCAAAGCGGAACGATCTCCTTTCTCAAGTAGACGCTTCAAGAAACAAAAAAAATCACATTGATTTAATTATTTATATCGAGGAGTCAGTCAACGAACTTGCATTCAATTGTTATGTAAATAGTTACCTTTAACATCGTTGTTATCAAGGTATCATCCACACCTGTTGTATCTTTGAATTTTTTCACGGTTGATAATTTTTTCAAACAACTCCGTACTCTGTGTTCGAGCGGTTTCTGATGCGGATCTTTTATACAAAATTCAAGTAAATTGAAAAGCGGTACGATCAAATCCAGAGTGACAGCCATAGACGGACAAGTTTCCAAATAAATGTCCAACAAATCTATGACGCGAATTCTAAAATGTGTTAATGCTTGATTCGTCTTTCCTTGCTTTTTAGAACGTGCTTTTCTGTTTTCTCGTAAAATTTTGAAAGCCGCCGCTAACGATTCGTTCAGTCGCTTGCCTTCTTCTTCTCCAATTTGATCGACGTCGATATCTTCATCATCGGTTTGTGTTGCGGCATCACCTAAAGCTTGACGTACTGCCATTCTTAATTTGTCATTTATTGTGTCGTCTTCATTCTCATCACCGTCGTCTTCATCTACCTCATTCTCAGATTCGGATTCACTTACTTCCGACGAAACTTCACCGTTTAAAGTACTTTCTTCTTGCTCTTCTTCTTCTTCTTCTTCTTCTTCTTCTTCTTCATCATCATCATCATTATCATCATCATCATCCGATTCGCTTTCTATGCTTGACGAATCTTTATCATTATTTTGTTTTATAGTAAGTGGATTCTGATCATTTTGTACATCTAGTACCTAAAAAATATAATGTATTCTTATACTTCAAAATTACAATTAATTGTTTTTGTGTCGCACTGGCATATAATGTTAAAAAATCTAAATTGATTTGCAACTTACAGCTATTATTTGATAAACAGCAGATGGAGTCAAATAGGGAGAAATATGTGGAAACACACAGCGAACTATTGAGCGCAACAAGTGATTGTCTCTGGACAAAAGAGACAACAATAGATCCACTACTACTTCAACCCATTCCGGTTCCTCTTCTTCTGCTGTTGCATTATTCAGCTTCTTACGTCCCTTTGACTTTTTAATTGATCTTTCGTAACAACATTGAAGTTCGTTAATCGACATGATTGCCATTTCAAAATCTGAGAATAACTGCAGACCCATGTGTAAGTTCATTGTATGAAACAAGACGTCAGCATTCTTCGTACTCTTTTTAAGTTTTTCAATCATATCTATCACTCGTTTCCAAGCATTGGCTGCTTCATCGTTTAACGACGATCTCAATTGTATCTCGTTTGAAAGCAGCTTCGAATTTAAATCCTGAACAAGTAAATTCAACAGATTTCGGGTATCATTCAATTTGGGTAACTTGTGATCCAAGGCACGATAAAATGAGTCCTTAAGTTGAGCTGCAAATAATAACATTATTTATACGTTAATTATGCATACAAACAATAATAAAACCAATATGAGATTACTTACAAGCTAATTCAATTCCAACATTTGGCATTTCACACAATCCGTAGCTAAACAAAAATTTTAGCTGTTCAAGTCTCCAATTATGATCCGTAAGTGTCTCTCGATGACCCATTAATCTAAATTAACAAAGAAATATAATATTATATATAGTAATACATATTATTTTTAATTACGTGCTTATTTCAATCATCTTAGCTTTGCATTTACCTGGTCAATAACTGTGCTGCGTAACTTCGCTCAGCATTTGTCCACAATCTCGCTTTGGTATCTTCTTTATCTTTTGAAAACTTGTTTTCTATAATATCTCTATATAATTCGCACAATTTTTTGATACCATCTAGTTTCAAGTTTCCTGTAATTATCTGAATCACTTTTGTGCCTGTCTTCTTTTCTATCATTAAATCACTTGGATGCAATATGAGCTTTTTTAAAATGCTCAGCTGTGTCTTTGTCTTGACATCTTTGTCGCTTGTAGCGGACGCAACCATATTTAAAATCTCTCTGAATGCTATTAAAACTTTATCGTTATTATTCTTCTTACAACTAGAAAACTTGTTTAACATGTGTTGTAGCAGATTTGGAGATAATAATAGTGGAATTACAGTTTTATCTGTAACATTCAATAGTATCAGTCGTACGATTTCTGTAGCAACGCACTCGTCATTTGCTGATGGTTTTACAAATTTGTTATCAATGATTTTCCAGAAATCTGCTACAAATTTAGTCGACAGTAACTTTTCGCAGAATAGTTTAAACACCGGATGATGATAAGAAACAATTCCACGTGGACTCTAAATAATAATAATAAAATACAAATTATATACAATATGACAATAGTGTAAACATAAATAAATCGTTATAAATTATTTTATTCTCATGAAATAATTATCATTAGCATTACCATTAAAAATTGAACTATTTCTTCCATGGACTCTTTAGCAATAATATCCTCCACGCCCAAGTGCTCTTTCAAAAACTCACAATTAACTAATGATGGATGTTTGTCTCTAACAACTAGAAGCATATAAAATGTATCCAGAGTATATTCAGACCATGGCTTGCTAAATTCTTCTTTAATGGAAGGCCAAACTGCCTTTTTCATAGACTTGGTATCAAGTTGAACAATAAATTCATTGAGAAACACAACAGAGATTAACAACAGATAGCTGCGCTCCTTGCCACCTTTTAAAAGAATCTTTACAATTTGTTGTTGAATTTCAACCGAACTTTGAGCAAGCAACTTGGATCTTATAAGTGCACCACATAACAGTATACGTCCTGCATATATGTCAGCATTTTCCTAAAACAGAGAAGTTTAAATTCCTTTCGCATTCTCAAATTTTTTTTTTTTTTTTTTTAAAGAATAGTTACAATAAAAATCTTACACTTTTTGAATTTCCACCAGCTGGATGCAATTGAGTATTCATTATGGACAAAAGTTTTTCCACTGAAGTTTCAGGATGTAACATTAACAAACTTGTCAAAGTACTATAAAACCCTTTTCTTCCAAACAGGTTTGAACCTCCTAAACCACGCACTAGTCTCACAAGCGCAAAGTCAAATTCTTTATTGTCATCTTGATTCTGTAAAGATAAATAAATCAATGCTCAATCTGTTGCACAAGTTTAAGTACATACATCCAATATGAGAGCTTTATTTTTTCCTTAACAAACATAAGTTAAAAAAAAAATGGTACAACATTTAAGGTTATCAACTTACTGTGTTTTGACATAGATTACTTAGCAACGCGACTCCGGCATCTAATCTCACGGAATTGTTGTCACTTTTCAGTTTATTGAAATTATCCAATATAGTAGAATTCATTTTGCTAATTTTCTGTAGCTGCTGATTATCTGAAACTGTACCTGAAACCTCGCTCTCTCGGCCATGTGCACGTCGCGCGGTTCATTAGAGCTGCCATCTTGATTTTCCACTTTTCCAGACACTCGAAGACTACACTAATCAAGTTTTAACAAATGAAACAAAAGCGTCAATTGTAATTGAAAATTGCACATAAGTACTTAATTCTTTCTAATTCTATAAAAAAACAAATACTAAACAAACAATTAAAAAAAAATTACCCAAAGTTATGCGTAATTTTTTGAGACTGCCATTACAAATGTGTGCGATAAACACACACACACACACACGTAAAGATTGCATTTGAAAAATATACTCTTTTGTGTATCTAACTTATCGCAATTTTGCGATTACGATAGTAGCGTGTTATCTACAAATAGATTTGCAAAAAGAACTGATTTGAACACATTTGCGGATAGTATCGGAGCGCGACATATTATCAATAAAAAATATAAAAAATATAATCCGAAGAAATTTATTATCTAGAGAAAATTTCCTCTTTCCTCAATGTTATATAATAAAAATATTATTTATTACATTACAATTACACAATAAAAAAAAATAATACAATAAAAATATTGAGGAGCGCGCTTACATTTTTTTTTACTGGTGCGCATACGTCGCTGAACACACGTTCAGCGCCAATCGCGTGTCGAATTCGAGGGAAGCCGTGCAAAGCCATGTTGACTATATACGTACCGCTTAACCTGTGACGCGCGATTGGCCGATTTTTCGTGTGTACACACACATACATACGTATATGCATTTACAAACGCGTTTACGCGTTCGCAAAAGCGGCATTCGGTCAGCTGCGTAAACTCCGTGTGTTCTTGCTCGGTGTCACGTGTCATAATACGTGCCAAAATTATCGGTTTAATTAAGTAAAATTCGTTCGGTGTGTGCACGGTCTTTCGTCGATAAGCCCCGTTCGGTACGTGCTATGTTGCGTATACGGTGACTGCTTCGACTCACGCGGTCCCGGTCAGTTTCGTGTATTCAATATGGCAGGTCGAGGTCCTTACGACGATTCAAGGCAAGTATCGGGAGTATCTTACGTTTGTGACACGCAATCACGAGAATTCGCGAGCGCGGCATGCACGCGATGCGTAAACGGTGCGTAACGGACGTCGTGGATGCACGTGTTTCCTCGCGCGAACGATTTCGCATCGCGACTTTAAGGTTAAGTGGGGATCGCGAGCCCAACGCGGTGAAACATCTTGCGAGATTTCGGCGACACGCGGCCCTTTATTTTGGCCGGTCGAGGCTCGCTCGTAACACGCACGAATTTCTCACAAGATTAAGCGACCCAACGAAGTAATTCCGAGATCTCGGAAACGCGTACGTACCGCATGACGCGTGCAAGAGTTGACTCGTGACAATAGCAATTGAACGTGTGCAACGCGATCCGCGGACGCGTGCAATCGGAAGAGATTATTAGATTTATATTCTTATGTTACATATTCAGAGAGTTTTTTTTTCTACAAGTTACATCGATGCAACGCAACGTTTCTTCATCCTTTTCAGTTTAGAAAAATGCACAACAGATGCGGTAATGTTGAGGGAAAATGAAAAAAAACTGATAAATGTTCAGTGATTTGAAAATGTATTGTCACTGTAATGTCGGATAAAACTTATTGTTATACATATATAAAATAGATACAATAGATATGATAACGTTTCACATGTGTGTTAAAACTTTTATATCTGATAATTATCAAAAAATCACAAGATAGTTGAAATATATCAATATATGTTTTTTATCTAGAAGAATAAATGTATAATTTTGTATGTGTTGTCTGTTTAGAGATTATTCCACTGGTCATCGAAGTAGAAAACCCTTACCAACGGAACCACCTTATACAGCGTATGTAGGAAATTTGCCAAATGGAATTGTGCAAGGGGATGTTGATAAAATTTTCGAAAAACTTAATGTCAAAGTCATCAGATTGGTTAAGGATAGAGATACTGATAAGTATGTGTACTGATTGTGTGTAAAAGAAAACTATTGTACATCAATTCAATTTTCTAATCTTTCGTCATTTCATTCATAGATTTAAAGGCTTCTGTTATGTGGAGTTCGAAGAATTGGCCGATTTGGAAGCAGCACTTGAAATGGACGGTGCTGTCGAAGTCGATAAATGTCTAATTAAAATTGATGTAGCGGAAGGAAAGAGAAACGACCGAGGTGGTGGCTTCGATAGGAGAGGTCGTGCCGGTGGCGGCGGCGGTGGTGGTG